TGTGTGTGTGTGTGTGTGTGTGTGTGTGTGTGTGTGTGTGTGTGTGAAAGAGAGAGACCTCAACCCGACAGTGCTGCTGGGGGAACATTTCTCTGTGTGATTCAGATCCACTCTGTGGATCGTGTGAATGCTGTGCGCTGCTTCAAGCCCAAGCTCATGGACTAACGAAGGATTAATCAGCTCTGCATAAACGTCGCTCAACTTTTTGAAGGCAGTGCGAGAACCTCAACAGGAGCCGGATCTCCACACCCCCCATGAGGGTTTGAGTGCAGAGCTCACAGCCGGGCACAAGGACTGTGTTTATGGATGGAAAGGTACCGCCGGGCGATCATGTACTGGACTGTGTAGCTTTAGAACCAGCAGCTGATACTCAGACACTGTGTGTCTTGTGGTTCCTGGTGGTAAATATTCCTAGTGTGTTGTGATTTTAGAACCTGAACTGGAACTTAGTGCAATTCGTGAGTTCTTTATTTTCAAAAACTTTTCACTTTGCAGATCTGTGATTGCTGTAGAAAAGTTCTTATAAAGTTTAGTAGTTGTACGGCCGTGTGTGTGCGCGTGTGTGTTGCTATGCAGACAGAGTGGAGCCATTCTCAGACAGCCTCACTGTAACCCCACTCACACAGTGAGCTCAGAAGAAAAGCTTTCTGCATGTCTCCGTCCAGCAGGGAGGACTCCCGTCCAACAGCAGCTGTTCCACAGCTTTGAGCTCTAAAGTGGCCTTTTTTCAAGAGTCTGCTTTGCAGACAGAGCGGAGCCACAGAAAACCTGCTGATAAAGTTAAAGCAACACACATGGCTGTTCACATCCTGTCCTGCAGCTCAGCAGCATGAGTGAGACAGTTAACAGCTGAGGCCTTGTGTGTCCGAGTATGCGTTCACGTTGATGAAAACTCAGAAATTACTCCAGAGTTTCTTGCCTCTGCCAAGTTACCCTCGGAGTACAGGCTCCACTCCTACACAGTAAAGAACTTTGATTGGATTTCCACGCACCCCTTTGTTTGTTAAATGAGATTGCATTACAGAATCTTTTTACTTTAGCTCGTTACGTTGCTGCAAAATGAAGAAACCTCTTCCACTGACTAATTCCTGGAATTGTTCCATCAATGAAGAACCAGTACTATTTACTCTGCCAGGCACCAAGAAGAAGATCAAGAGGAAGTCCCGTGAGCCTAAAAGACTTTTCCCAAGTCCAGAGACTGAAACCATACAAAACTTTTTAGTGGACATGTCTAATGGTGACTCAGAGGATGCCCAAATGGAGATGGGCTATGTCAACAAGCTGGCTCCTTTCCATGGGCAGCTGATGATGTCACAGGAGATGATGGTCAACAGTACAAAACCTCTGTCTGGGATACCGGAGAACAACACCGTACCAGGTCAGAGTGGCGCTATAGACATGAGAATTGGCATCAACATGCCTGCCATCTCTTCCCAGGTGTCCCGGCCACCTGCGTCACTACGATCCCACCACGAGATCTCCAACTGGCCTTCCTCCATCTCTCAGCCTCTTTCCAGCAGGTTCAAGTTGGGCCTCCACTCCACATTCTCCCTGTCAGCATCAACCAGCAGCACACATGCTTCTGGATGTCAGGTGTTCTCCTCAGAACAGAGTCCACCAAGACAGTCTGCTGCCCCGTACATCCCCACTGAATCCCAGTCCCCCCAGTGTCTGGATCTCATCGACTCCCAAGTCTCCTCACCTAAAGTGAGTATATGATATCTTCAGAAGTAAATAGTTTATAATGTGTTAAAAAAATCTGTTCCATTTTCTCTACTGAGCTGGATATCTTTGAGGCTGAAGTGTTGGGGGCCGAGATGGGGTAGGGGCAGCTGACTCGGGACCTGAAATTCCCAGGTTCAATCCCCAGTCATTGCACATCTTGTGGTGTCTCTGAGCAGCACACCCTACCCTCAATTGCTCCCCGGGCGCCTTCAATAGCTGTTCACTCCACCACCTGGGGGTGGATGGGTTAAATGCAGAGAGACATTTTTGCCATTGTATGGGAACATGCAATGATGACAATACATAACACATTATTATTATTATTATTATTATTATTATTATTATTATTATTATTATTATTCAGATGAATATGTCATTAGAAAAGTTGGCCTGAGAGACTCCATATCATCTCATGTTTTAAAGTAATAGTCTGGTCATTTTTAAGTGATGGTTTAGTTATTAACCATTTGCACTTGACTTTATTAGCCGTAATGTCAATCAATGAGCACAGACTGTAGAGACAAGAGAAGACATCTTCGTCCATGCTAGGCTCATGACTAGTTAAACTGTATGTCGTTTTTATAAAGAGCTGTTGTATAAGCCAAATAAAACAATATAAAGCAGACCATGGTTTAGCTAACCATAGCATTGCTTCATTTAGCTAGACATTAGCTTAGTTTCATTTAGCAAGCCATTAGCCTAGTTTAATTTAACTAGCTATTAGCCTAGCTTCATCTAGCGAACCATTAGGATTGGGGTGCACCGATAAATCGGGATAAATCAGTCGTCCGATTTATCAGCCCCGATTTCTTTAATTTTTGGAAATTGGCAATCGGCCAATACTTGCATGCAAAACCAATTTTACTGATTTTTTGTAGTTTTAACAACAATTGTCTAAACTTCATTTATATTTCAGAGCACTACCTCATAGCCAGTTAAAACAAGTTTGTATTGTTTCTAGGATATTGTTCAAGGGTATGTTTTTCAATAAAATAATATTGGAAAATTGAAGGTGTATTGTGACCTTATAACACCTGACAGTGTCGCTTATAAAACAAAATCTGTATCGGCAAGTCAGACTTTTTAGAGATGGGTGATCAGTGATTGACCAGAAAACTGCAATCGGTGCACCCTTAATTAGCATAGCTTCATTTAGCTAGTCATTACCCTAACTTTATTTAACATGCCATTAGTCCTTTCTTTTAGCAAGCCATTTTTTTCATTCAACCTTTATTTATACAGGTTTGACACAGTCATGAGGACTCGTTTACAAAAGAGGCCTGTTTTAAACAAAGAACACAGATGAAGTACAGACAACAACAGACAATCATAAAAGGATATAAAATGAAAAGTAAAATAAAATAAATGATATAAAAACAAAACAAAAACAGCTAGTAGCTAACAGCTTTATTAAGCCATTAGACTAGATTCATTTAGCCAGCCATTAGCATATCTTAATTTAGCTATCCACTGGTTAATCCTGGATGAAATCTTCTGCCTTTTTCTTCAAATACTGTGCCTCTATAACTGATGTTATAAGGTACTACCTAATGCTAACTATTTCACAGAACATCACTTTAGGAATCACCAGACTATTAATTTAAATGAACTGATAGTTTTGTGAAATAATACATTAATCCATCCATCCATTAACTTTACCCGCTTCTTCCTTGTCATGTCGCGGGTGTCACCTGGACAGGTCTCCAGTCCATCACCAGTCCATCTGTTTTTAGTATTTTATATTGTTTTAGAATGTAGCTGTTTTTGTTTAATTTTTTTAATACAATTTTTTCTATTTACTTTTCATTTTATATGCTTTTTAATGGTCTACTGTTATCTTCTGTGTTCTTTGTCTAAAACTGGTCTCTCTTGTAAATGAGCCCTCGAGTCTCAATGAGACTAACCTGTATACAGTAAATAAAGGTTGAATTGAATCACAAGACTGATACATTTGGGGTTGGGGATTTGGCATTTATTTTAAAAAAAAACAGTGATAACATTCAGATCATTAACATTAGTCATTGATGACTAATGGAAAGCACTTATATTATGCTTTTACAATAAATTGATGTTTTTATTTTAGTTTACACATCTAACTCAACTCAGATAAGGAAATGGTGACTTAAAATGCCTTTATTGCACAATCTGACCCATGTAGATGGAGATATTCTCATTATCAGATCTATCGGGTTCCAACATGTTTAGATAAATTAGTCTAAATCTGTCATTGACACACTTGTACTGTGAACTGAGGTTCTTTCCTCTTCTGCTTCTAGGAGTCTCCCAGGAAGCGGGTTGTTGGCGGTTCTCATGCTCGAGGGCATCTTCCAGAGGTCAAAGCCATCCAACAAACCAGGAGGCTTCTAGCCAACGCCAGGGAGAGGACTCGAGTTCACACCATCAGTGCAGCATTCGAGGCATTAAGAAAACAGGTCAGAAACTCAACCCACATCCAAACTGAAGAAAATACATTATGAAATGTTCTATTTTCACGTAGGACAAAAATATATTTAAATAACAATATTTCTCATTTTGAAATACACAGCAGTGAAGTACTTTATACTGTACATGAATTTTTGTTCCTGAACTTATTGAGATCATTAACAAAAACTCCCACCTTGTGTTTTTCTCTTCAGGTGCCATGTTACTCATACGGGCAGAAGCTGTCCAAGCTGGCTATCTTACGTATTGCCTGTAACTACATCCTGTCCCTGGCCCAGTTAGCTGAGCTGGACTACAGTTCAGATCCCAGCACTGTGAGCTTTGCTCAGTGTGTAGAGCAGTGTACCCGAACCCTGCAGGCTGAGGGACGGTGCAAGAAGAGGAAGGTGAGGCAAGCTTTAAAAGACATTTACTAAATTATATAAATATCAACTGATAAAATATGGTGACTGTAAAACATTAACATGAAAAGGACAGAGCACCTTCAGCCCATCCATCCATTAGCTTCTGCTTTTTCTGAAGTCGGGTCGCAGGGGCAGCAACTTGAGCAGAGAGGCCCAGACATCTCTTTCCACAGTCACCTCTTCCAGCTCTTATGGGGGGACCCCAAGTTGTCTCCAGGCCAACCGAGAGACATAGTCTCTCCAGCGTCTCTTGGGTCTTCCCCTGGGGTCTCCTCCCAGTTGGACATGCCTAAAGCACCTCCTTAGGGCCCAGGGAGCATCCTTACCAAATGTCTGAACCACCTCATCTGGCTCCTCTCGATGTGGAGGAGCAGTGGTTCTACTCCGAGTCTTTCCCGGATAACTGAACTTCTCACCCTGTCTCTAAGGGGGAGTCCAGCTACCCTGTGGGTGAAACTCATTTCAACCACCTGTATCCACAATATCATTCTTTCAGTCACTACCCAGAGCTTGTGACTATAGGTGAGGGTAGGAACATGGACTGACCAGTAAACTGAGAGCTTTGCCTTACAGCTCAGCTCTCTCTTCACCATGACAGACCAGTACAGAGTCCTCAATACTGCAGACGCTGCACCAATCAATCCAAATTCCCCAATATTTATAAACTGTTACCTCTTCTATAATATCACTGTTTTGTTTGGTGAAATCCATCAAGGTGGGTATGGTTCCTCCTCCATGACAGAACCACAATTTTAGGTTTCTTGGCATTTAAGGACAAATATAAATTGGAAAGGGCCTGCTAGATTTCAAGAAAACCACATGCAAGGGACTTCACAACCTCATCCGGAGTAGAACCAAAAGCATATAAAATAGTGTCATCGGCATAAATGTAAGGAGGCCTCACTAACTGAATGTGAGATATAATTTATAAATATGGAGAAAAGAGTTGGACCAAGAATGGAGCCTTGGGGTACACCTGACATAACTGGACACCTGGCCTGAGTTACAAACTCTGAAAGTCAGTAGCTCAGTTCCCTGACCGAGTCGAACATTTTGATCTAAGAATGATCAGAAATTAAGTATGATTGTAAAAACATTGGTAATGCTGACTCGGCATTCAAAGGGGCTGAGATGGGGTAAAGGAAGGGCAGCCAACTTGGGACCAGAAAGTCACAGTTTGACTCCAAGCCATTCCCACATGTTGTGCTGTCTCTGAGCAAGACAGCAAATCCCTAATTGCTCCCCAGGTACTCAGTAGCTGCCCACTGCTCCACCTGGATGTATCCCAGGTGTGATGGGTTAAATGCAGAGAACTAATTCCATCATTGTATGGAAACATACAGCAATGACAATGCATAGTACTTATACTTTATATATAAGCAATAACATAGATTTGCTCATCACTAGCTGTTTGACCTTTGACCTTATCAAGAAACTAGATTTCGCAGTTTGATTGTAAAAGTCAGCAGCCTCACATAAAAACACGTCGCTTTAACAGACGTGGTGCGGCTCCTCATCCAGCGCAGCACACATGTTGCTCTTTAGATGTAAACCAGCTCATTGTTTTCTCTGCTGGCTGGCGGTTTCTTGCTGTGTGTGTGTGTGTGTGTGTGTGTGTGTGTGTGTGTGTGTGTGTGT